CCCAGCACTTTGGGAGGCCGAGGAGGGCAGATCACTTGAGGTCAGGAGTCAAGACCAGCCTGGTCAATATGGTAAAACTCTGACTCTGCTAAAAATACAAAAATTAGCTAGGTGTGCTGGCACACGCCTGTAATCCCAGCTACTCGGGAGGCAGGAGAATTGCCTGAACCCAGGAGGCAGAGTTTGCTGTGAGCCAGGATCACGCCACTGCACTTCAGCTTGGGCAACAGAGCAAGACAAAAAAAAAAAAAAAAAGAATATCCAGTTCTATTTAAATAATTTTTAGCATGTATACTGAAGATTGCTAGAGTCTTACCTCAGGAACTTGAAGGTGAAATAAATTCTCATAGACCCTTACCAAAAAATTTTTTAACTGAACTGATAATTTCTTACCTAATCTCACATTATATACCCTTACAATAGAATTGAAGTATATTCTATTTCTTTCAACATTTATATTCAAAAATTTCTTTCTTACAGTTTATTATATTTGAATTTATTACATACATTGAATTAAATATAAATCCTTAGGTTATACTTTCCAGTAAAAATTACACATTAATATAAATCTGTATATTACAATTTGTTTGTAATACGATAACATAATTTAAAAAAAAAAAAAAAAAAACAGGCTGGGTATGGTGGCCCATGCCTGTAATTCCAGCACTTTGGGAGGCCAAGTCCAGGAGGATCACTTGAGGTCAGGAGTTTGAAACTAGCCTCGCCAACATGGTGAAACCCTGTCTCTACTAAAAATACAAAAAATAGCTGAGTGTGATGGCATGTGCCTGTAATCCCAGCTACTTAGGAAGCTGAAGCAGGAGAATCGCTTGAACCCGGGAGGCAGAGGTTGTAGTGAGCCAAGATCTCACCATTGCACTCCAGCCTGGGGGACAGAGCAAGACTCCGTCTCAGAAAATAAAAAGAGAAAAGGAAAACAACAAGAACAAAAAATTTAAATAACTACTTCTGTAGCGGTGAGAGAAAATGAACATTATTACCAACCTGATAAGGAAGATTATGTTCTCCTTGGAATATGCCTCCATAACACCCCTGAAGTATATCAATGGGAGTTAAGTATGGCTTAAGGAGCTGTGTATGGGTGCCAGGTTGACAAGGGTAAACTTGTGGACTTAATTTTAGGTGTCAGTGATTTTAAATGTCACCTTGACTAGATCAAGGAATACCTAGAAACCTGGTATAGCATTATTTTGGGTGTTTCTGTTAGGGAGAGGAGATAGCATGTGAATATGATTGGATTTAGATGGGGAAGATCTGCCCTCAGTGTTGGTGGGCACCATCCAATCAGCTAGGGGTCTGGAGAGAACAAATGGGTCTCTGAAAGCTGGGACAGACTTTTCTGCTGCTGCTTTGGATATCAGAAATTTGACTTCAGGAAAGTGCGTTATCACAGCGTTGATTGTGTGTAAGCATTGTGCACTTACGTAAAAACATTGAAACTTCCTCCATAAATGAAGAAATTACCTGGTTTGTACCTCCTCTGCATTTGTGAGAGATAAAATTTCTCAAGATCCCAGCTCTTTGGGCAACTGTGTATGCAGTGATGACCCATTGTGGTTTTTTTTTTTTTTTTTTTAAAGATGCGGTTTCGCCATGTTGGTCAGGCTGGTCTTGAACTCCCGACCTCAGCTGATCCACCCGCCTTGGCCTCCAAAGTGCTTGGATTACAGGCGTGAGCCACCACGCTCGGCCAACCCATTGTGTTTTTTAAGTGATCTCATCGAAAGAATTAGGTTTGTTCTCCGGGTATTTCAGATGACTGCAGTTATAAAGCTGGGACACATACAATTACTAACTAGTAAAAGACATTTACATATTTCCCCTTTGAGCCATTTCTTTGTGAATATGGTTCATCTTCTGCCACATTTTTATGTTTCTCACATCCCCTTTAAAAATGTAAGCAAATAACTTTTAAAGAATTTTTATTTTTTCTAAAATTATATTTTTGGGATTTTAGACTTAGGAATTTTGATCTTTGGGGATTTCAACATTCTGGATTATAGTGTTTTGATACAGTGTTATGATCAGCTCCCCACACAGTGAATATTATTTGGCAATGAAAAGGAATTAAATATTGATTCATGCTACAGCCTGGTGAACCTAAAAAACATGTTAAGTGAAAGAAACAAAACCTAAAAGGCCCATGTATTGTGTGGTTAAATGGTTAAAATCACAATCAAAACCACTAAACCTCCTACAGGAAAAAATAAAGAAGGACAAAGAAGGCTGTTCTTTATTAATGGAGGCTAAAGAGACATGATAACTAAATGCAGTTTATGGTTGTGGATTACATTTTTAATCTGGAGAAAATAGCCATAAAGGAAATTATTGGGACAGTTTGTTAAATTTGGAAATGGACTGGATTTGGCTGGTCATAGTGGCTTACACCTGTAATCCCAGCACTTTGGGAGGCCAAGATGGGTAGACCAGGAGTTTGAGACCAGCCTTGCCAACATGGCAAAACCCTGTCTTTACAAAAATTAGACGGGCATGGTGGTGTATGCCTGTAGTCCTAGCTACTTAGGAGGCTGAGGCTTGAACCTGGGAGGCAGAGGTTGCAGTGAGCTGAGATCGTGCCACTGCACTCCAGCTTGGGTGACAGGGACTCCATAAAAAAAAAAAAAAAAAAAAAAAGGACTGGATTAGATAATAGTATGTGTATCAATACTAAATTTCCTGGTTGTATTAAGTGTATACTGTGTTATAAATTATGTATCAGAATTACATTTTGGGGGTTTTAGGCTTTAGAAATTTTGATCTTTGGGGATTATGGCATTTGGGATTGTGAACATTAGGGAATGTCTTTGTTCCTAGTAAATCTATGCTGAGGTATCTAAGGGTAAAGGGGTATGGTGTTTCCAGTTTACTTTCAAAGTGGCACACTGAAAAAATACAAGGCAAATTGTGTAATATGTAAACTTTTGGTGAATTTATACTAATCTTTCAACTTTTCTGTGAGTTTGAAGTTATACTTAAATTTTGTAACCAACAAAATTGGATTTGTCTTTGTGTTATCTTCTCGGCATCAGCATGGCCCAGGTGATGTTTGAAAAATAATGTTAGGTATGCTTCTTTGGCTTAGCTGCCTCATTTCACTATATCCTTAGACTTTTGTCTGTTTCTCAACCTGTGGCTTCCACTGTATTATTTATTTTAATTACTTATAGCAATTTCCCCATAAGCTTATTACATCATTATTATTAAGTATTAGCTTCTATACACATTTATTGTTATGGCTGGTAATAGCCTTTGGACACCTATTCTCATTTTGTACATTTTTTTCTGTTCACCTACCTTACTTTTGCATTATCTTGGGTAATGTGAAAAATACAACTTTTTTTTCTTCTATTTTGAGAAATTTAAATATTAACTCCCTGGTGGAAAGATTTGCTGTTCTAGTTCTCGTCCAGTAGCTTTTTTTGTCTGAAATTTCTGTTCAGTCTCTTGTTAGAAAGATCAAGTGTGGTATGAGATCTAACCTTAGTAAGAACATACTGGACTATGCTAATTTTTGTTGTCAGCTCAAAGAAGTAATCTCTAAATGCTATCAAACAGTACTGTGCCTTCTGTCAGCCACGAAAGAAGTCAGTGAAGTTCTCCTAAGTAGAAGCGCCATCAAAACCTAGAACTGTGTTGTTGGTATTCACCTGTCCATAGCTACTGTTCTTATGAATAAGTAAATATCTAGTAGAGGCTATTTTGAATGAGTTTATTAAGAAGATCATGCAAACCGACTTCATGATGATTCGTTGGTACTACTTGTATTTTCAGTTGGTTAACCAGTTTTCTTTCCTTTGTGGTTTATGATGGGATCTCCACTAGACAGAGGTAACCCATTGGATAGTTGTGTAACTGGATGCTGTTGTGATGGTGCTTGTTGGTTTAGTTTTCATGATACTCCTCTTGAAGTTATGCTTGCAATGCTGCCTCTTACTTTATGCTTGCATGACATTATTACTTTGATTGTGCTTTATTGGTTTGGGGTTTTAAAATCTATTATTTTATACTTAGAATAATTCCTTAAATATTTTTGGTGGTTGAGAACTTGTGGAAATTAGTTTCAAGTCTAACTTTTGGTGGATCCTTTTCAGTTTTTGAAAATATATTCAGTGTCACCACTAAGTTTATGCTTTGGCTAAGAATTCAGAAAACAGGGTAAGCTTGTTTAAACACCCAGGAAGAGACCACTTGCCAGGCAGATAATTATTAAAGCTGAGAACTAACTTTCTTTGTGAGATTTATAGACTAAAGAAAAAAAAAACTATATATTTAGAGTAAAAACTAAGTTTTAGGAGACAGTTTCATCAAATAGCTGAAATTTAGGAGCCATAGTTAAGGTAACAGTAAATATGATTAAATTGTGCCGAAAGTGTGCACGTCTGATTTGTCATTATATTTCAGAGATGCTATTCACTCTGCATACTGTTCTATATTCTGAAACTGAGATTCTTGGGGTTACAAAGTAAAATTACAATTAGTATTTCAGAAATTGGTTTTCTGAGCATTTGTATGGACCTTGGAAATAGTTGCTCACTTCTTCCTTTCTAATCATTTCAGTATAGTTTTTCTTGGACAAAACTGATTTCCTTTTAGTTTTTTCATGTGTGTGTTTGCTTGTTTACTACTATTTATACCTCTGTAGAAGAAGGTGGATTGTTTTTCAAACTGAGAAACAAAACCTGTTCTGAAGTGGGCCTGTATATGAACATATACAATGCTCAGTGGTAGAGGGTTCTAACATAGAAATTATTTTCTAGTGTTCATATTGAGCCAGTGTTAAAATGAAAAAATAATTTTTGTCTTGAAATTTTCATCATCTTGAAAACTGCAAAGGATCCATTGATTTTTGAATGGCCATCAGAGAAACGCTTATGATAAATAGCATAAAACTTCAGATAAATGGTAATTCATCTCTTACTATTTATATTCTAATTCACTTATATATTTTTGTCTTTTGGTGGAACCGATACATTTTATAGAAAATTTCCCAGGAACGAGAAAAATTTGCTGATGAAGGCAGTATATTTTACACCCTTGGAGAATGTGGACTCATATCCTTTTCAGACTACATTTTCCTTACAACTGTTCTTTCCAGTAAGTATAAATGTTTTGTTTTTCCATTTGTAGAGCAGATACAGGACTATACACATAATTGTTTATATGTTTGTAAAACAAGGCATATTGGTAGAGTTAATGAATTATAATGAATTATAAGTTATGTGAAATTTCATTTGTTTTGAATTTACTATGACTTGTGTATAGAACCACCTGAGAGAGGCAGAAAAAAAGAAAAAGTATCAAACTAAAGTTAAAAACAAAAAGGCCAGGAACAGTGGCTCACACTTGTAATTCCAGAACTTTGGGAAGCCAAGGTGGGTAGATCACTTGAACTCAGGAGTTTAAGACCAGCCTGGGCAACATGGTGAAACTCCATCTCTGCAAAAGCACACCTGTAGTCCTAGCTAGCTACCCAAGAGGATGAGGTGGGAAGATGAGGTTGGGGGATGGCCTGAGCCTGGGAGGCAAAGGTTGTAGTGAGCTGAGATCGTGCCACCACACTCCAGCCTGGGCAACAATGAGACCCTGTTTCAAAAACAACAGCAGCAAAAAAAACTGGTGACACCTACCTTTAACTGTCTGTAACTCTGTATTCTATCCCAGTGGGTCATGTATTGCCTACTACTGTATCCTTCATTAACTTACTGGTTCTCCAATAAAACACATTTTGATCTATCGTTTCCTCCATTAAAGAAGAAAATTGACTCGGTTGACCTAATTGAGTTGAATATTCATTTTTTAACCTTGGAGGAATACTTCTGAAGACACAAAGCTCAATTTTGACTCAAAGCACTGAGGAATTTCTGATTTTTAAAAAACTATCAATAGCTTTGTTGATTAGCATTAATCAACAAAGTGATTTTTAAGTTTCTTTTTGGTGTGACTTTTTTTTAACCATTCAGAAAAACTAAACAAAGTGTTATGTTCATAGCTCTCCATGTATAGCCTATTGAAATCTACCTAAAGTGAACCAGAGTTCAGATTTGTATGTTTGAAAGAATTGACTTTCAATTTTTTTTTTTTTGGTCTGGGACATATCAAACAAAAATAACCATCTCTTTTCACCTTCTCCAAGCCAGCCATCTGTAAACATAAAACTACAAGAAGAAAGTTTTTAATAAGTCGCATATACATGTCCTGCCATGCCTGTGACCACTTTCATTCTTATTCCTCTGTGCAAGGATTGACAGGGAAATCATGATTACCACAGCTGACTTTGGGACACCAAAGTATCTTAGTAAATTCACATGGTGGAGCAGTGCTCTAGCAATGAAAACACATACTGATTTGTTATGAAAATCCAAAATAACTCCAGCAACGTATAACTTAAGATTATAATGTGCTTTTAAAAGCATCTCTAGTTCAGATCCTGGCACCCTTTCTTAGCTTGTGATTTGGGGCAAGACAATTGATCCATTCTTCTGTTTCGTCTGTAAAATGAAGAGGGCAATAATATCAAACCCAAATGATTTATTTGAGAATGATGACATCATGAATATAAAGTAGCTATTAATAGTTTAGTGCCTAGTATTTAGTGGAAATCTGTGTTGGTTTTTATTTTTTTATTCTGTCACAACATGTTACTTCATGTCTGGTTTTTAAGGATCCATAAACATTATCATTTTTTTTAAATGGCCCAAATTGGTGGGAATTTTTAAAATATTTTTGTGACTTTGGACAGAATTTATTATACAGCGAATAGGCTTGACATAACAGAAAGTCTACTGCATTAAATGAAGAGACCCGCATTGATATCTAATGTATTCTTGTAAGTAGTTCTAGTAAATCTTTGTTGAACTGAAATAAGCTTTGAATTTGTATCCACTGCTTAGTCCTGTTACCTTCATATCTTTCTAAGTGTCAGAAGGACCACAGAATAGAACCTTCAGAGTACCTTGTACAACGTGTAGCTCCCTTAACCACTTAAAATCGTGTTTTTAAAAAGTCACACTGACCCTTGGGTTCTAGAAACCCCTGCAAGTAGCTCTGCCATTCCCAGCATATTTACTTCATGGTGCTCAACTCCTAGTTTGAATGTGCTGAGTGATTTACAATAAAGTGCTTACTGTTTAAGTTACTTTCTGTATTTGTGATGAATGAATCAGAGTATGATTTTAAGACTGTCTTTATCACTGGGTTTTTTTTTTTTTGCTTGTTTTTATAATTTCAACTTTTATTTTAAATTCAGAGGGTACATGTGCAAATTTGTTATATCATATTGGGTGATGCTGAGGTTTGGGTATTAATGATCTCATCTCCCAGATAGTTAGCATAATACGCAATAGGTAGGTTTTCAGCCCTTGTCCCCCTCCCCCTCTACCCTCTCTAGTAGTCGCCAGCATCAGTTGTTCCCATCTTTATGTCCAGATGTACCCAGTGTTTAGCTCCCACTTACAAGTGACAGTGTGTGGTATTTGGTTTTCTGCTCCTGTGTTAATTCACTTAGGATGATGGCCTCCGGCTACATCCTTGTTGCTGCAAAGGACATGATTTCATTCTTGTTTATGGCTGTGTAGTATTCCATAGTGTTGTGTACCACATTTCCTCTATCCAGGCTGCCACTGATGGGCACCTAGATTGATTCCATGTATTTGCTATTATGAATAGCTCTGTGATGAACATACAAGTGCATGTGTCTTTTTGGTAGAACAATTTATTTTCCTTTGGGTATATATCTAGTAATGGGATTGCTGGGTTGAGTGGTAGTTCTTTTTTTAGTTTTTTGAGAAATTGCCAAACTGGTTTCCACAGTGGCTGAGCTAATTTACGTTCCCACCAACAGTGTATAAGCATTCCCTTCTCTGCAGTCTTTTCAGCATCTCTTACCTTCTATCTTTTTAATAATAGCCATTCTGGGCTGACCACAGGAGAATCACTTGAACCCAGGAGGTGGAGGTTGTAGTCAGCCAAAACTGTGCCACTGCACTCCAGCCTGGTCAGCAAGAGCGAAACTTTATCTCAAAAAACAATAAAATGTATATGTATCCATGTACATGTACACATACACACACACACACACACACACACCATTTTCCCTTACTTTCCAAAACAGAATAGGTATGTTTTGAGTTATCAGTATATTATGAATATTTTTCTATGATAATAAATCTCTGCATTACATACATTATATCAAGAACTATATAAAAGTCATTGCATAGATTTATTATAACTGGGTTTAGCCATTGTTTGATATTTGAGTTCCTTCTAGTTTATTTTTATGTATGTATTTATTTTACTTTATTTTATTATTCTTTTTTTTTTTTTTT